CCTTAAACACAAGTTTACAAATCCCATGTGCTTGTAATTTCATCAGCAAATTTTCATACAATATTTAGAATCATTTAGAGACAATTTACGTAATCGGCACTTTGTGACATTAATACTGCTTTCGACGAGTGTGCGGTACACTTCACAACAAGTGTGAACCTTTTTTCCGTTTTGGTGGCTAATAGGCCTTATTTGTCACCGTAGTTACCATTTCGAATAAAACATATCTACTTTGAACCTAGAAGCAAAGAGTATTGAATCTTATAAACGCAGAAATAAATGTCACTTTTGTTTGTTTATGAATTCGTAACTTCATTTTATTGCTTGATTGTTTCGAACATTAGATTATTATACGATTCTCTCTTTGCTCTTTTTTTCTTAAATTTTATAACTACACCGCGAACAAAAGTTTTAACAATTAATTATTAATTCTTTCATTTATTTATTGTGCAAATATCCAACTTCCCAAAAGTGCCAATAACATTCCTTTAAGTAGTTTTAATTGTTTAGTTATATTTAAATAATTGACAAGATAATGACCTCAATTCTGTTGGCGACAGTTAGGCTGCGAAATAAGAGTATTTGACAATTTGTAGTGCTTTGATAATATCACACAAATATGCAAAATTTTTAAATATATACATTTTTGTAAAATACTAGCAATCTTGCAGGACTTATGTTACTAACATTATAAACAACTTTTGTTACATGACTTTTTGTAATTCATCATTCAAATCATTCACTCAATTCTCCGACGACGACCGCGCTTTTGGGTACCGCAGGTATGACATAGAAATTTGGTCGATCATCACCAAAATGACCAAGAAACCCGCTTATAAAATGCGAGACAGGAAGACGAGGCCTGGACTGTGATACTAAGTGTTTAGACCCTTAGTTCCCAAAGTGGTCCAGGTGGACCCCTCCACGGGAGACTCGACGGGGTCTACGTTGGCGTGACAAAAAATAATATGGATATGGAATATGGTAGAAATGTAGCTGCAAGTGGTCCACCGGAACAAAAGGAAAGGAAAAAAAGTCTGGGAACCTCTGGTTTAGACTATAGGTTCCTAAATTTTTTGGTTCACCGCCCAATTAGGAAAGATAAAAAAATTTTAACGCCCACCACCACAAAAAACAATTGAAAACACTTTTTTTTATATTACATATTTGTAGTAATAATAAATAATTCATGTTTTTTTCTTTTCAAATGCGATTGGTTCCGAAGACAGCATGAATTGGTTCCGAAGCCCTATTAGGACTCTTCAACGCCCACTGTGGGGATCACTTTGGGAAACTATGTTCTAAGCGGTACTAAGTTGTTGACTCTGTGCGGTAACAAAAGAAAGCGCTAGCGTAAAATACCAACCCGATGGAAAACGCGGGAGCGGGGTTGGGGGTCATCGGGGAGTACGCTTACACGTTTGAACTTACTACCTGATTACCAAATACATATCTAAAACGTGTCAGACAGTACAACAAAAACTTAAAAATTTACTTTCTGGTAAATGTATATATATACATATGGTAACTTATGGAATAAAAGCTGTTTATCATGTTAGTAATATAGGCCTTAGATTTTTTAATAATTTACAAATATACCTGTATAATCCACACAGGTTTGTCTACAATCTCACCTGATGTTAAGCTACGATGTGACCAATGATGTAACAAAAAATGCCTACTCATTTTAACCTTGTATTTTTGAGATTTCCATTACTTTACCGTACGGAAGCAAAGCTATTCGTGCAAATGGGTGGTATGTAAACGAAATAAGGATGGAGTTCTGGCATTCTAGTCGACAGATTGAGGAAGTGGCTTTTTTTTATACGCGACACGTATTTTCAAGTAATTTTATGTCCGTTTTCCAATTTTGAATATTTTCAATACTGAATTGAAAATGAAACAATATTTAATTACGGATATCAATACCCTATTAGGGTTATTTTCTTCAATTCTTCATACGTTATTATTCACTTCTAATGTTAACAGCAATGTAATACTTACATATATAATATATATTTATATTTTTTTAAAGTACTATTTTTATTGTCTATGGTATAAAACAGAAAATAGTGTTATCTGTGGTTTTTAAAAACAAGTTTTGTAATGGCGGGACAAAAGTTTGAAATAGGACAAGGATAAATACCAACATATGAAGAGGCCGTATGGAAGAACCTATACCTAAATAAATGGGTGAAAACTTGAAAAAATTGGGAAAGGACCGGGGTTGCCAGGTAATGTAACCAAGCTTCGAATCCTGTCAGGTCGGTATTTGTATTAATATTATAACAAACTAGTGGAGTAATTTCACAAAAAATAAAATGAATATCACCATGATATTCAATCAAAATCGACTAATCTAGGTTTCAAATAAACGTACGGCATAGGCCAGTCTTTAATATCGTTAATCATTGTTATGATTATATGTCGGGTATTTATATTTTCTATGCTATATCAGGGGGTAAAGGCTAATTTTTAAAGAAATATTTAGCTTCAAACAGAATTGAGACCAATATGAGTAGACATTATACATTATCGAAGTTATGTAATAGAATTTCTAATTTTGTCATTTAAATTCTATCATACAGTGTTTTTTTTTAAGTGGAGCAGTATGGGGAAATCCGAAACCATAGAACATATAAGGAAACTCTCTTAAGAACCATTAAATCTTTTTTATGAAAACAATTTTGACAGTCTTTTCTTGTAGGAATGAAACTATTTTTCCGGATTTAAATCGCGTATATTTGTTTTTTCAAACAAACCGACGTTTCGGGCCCTTTACAGGTCCCATGGTCACGGTTGACTGTCAACACTGTTTGAAAAAACAAATATACGCGATTTAAATCCGGAAAAATAGTTTCATTCCTATGTGTAACAATCGCGAAAACCTAAGTCTTTTCTTGCTTCAGCGTGAGTTGTCAATAAAAATGAATTTTTGCTGATGAAATTGTTTTCACAACAAAATACTTAATGGTTCCTAAGACAGTTTCCTTGTATCTTCTGTGGTTTCGGAATTCACCATATTATCCCATAAAAAAAACTCTGTATACAGGGTTATTTTTAAAATGCTAACAATCTCGCAGGTCATATGATGAATTGTTAAAAGTCACGTAACAAAGGTTGTATGATGTTAGTAATATAGTCCTGAGAGGTTGTTAGATTTGACAAGTAGCCCAGTATATTCGAATATAATTTTTTCGTGTTCTGTGACTATGTAAAAACGTAAGTTGTTAATGCTCTAAGAAAACTTTCTTTATGTCGTACGAAACTTTACAAAATATACAATAAGATTAATGTACATAAAGTTATTAATATACAAGGTCACGGGCACTTCACGCTTGACATTTATGATTTAAATTCAACTTTATAATGTTTGATGTACTCGTGACTAGAAATGTCACGGAAGGGCTTTGGCGTAATGCGGCCCAGTGATCCTGTGGGGTCCGACCCTTATAAGTTTTTTTTATTCATAAACCATCGGTAAAACAAAAAAATATATTATTTTTACAATTCATTAACATCAAAATGGAAACATTTTCACAGCCACAATACTTTTTTACATTTTACAATGAATATATCAACCAGGATCTCGCAGACATCTCTTCATAACTTAAAATGTTGACAAGTTAGGTTTTTGTTCATTTTTATTTTTTAAGTGAATTTTCTACCGACTTTAAAAAGGAGCCTTTAGAACTGACATTCGATAAAAACTATTTGACGAGATTCTGGTTGATTGTACATAATATATCTTTTTTAATATGTTAACATGAATCCAGTTAGTAGAAATAACAAATTATCGGTAAATAACTTTTAGGGTTGAATCACACTGAACGACGGCGATCGGCGAATTGTCTATACATACAAATCACAGTTAGGAACGTTCACAAATTCGATGTAAAGTCAGTACAGATAAATAGATTGGAGCATTACTGACATCGCCAACTCGCCTAAATATCTAATTAATAGCCTTCTTTTAAGGCTTATTATGAGTAAAGGATATTGTAACGTGCCGATGTGGTGAAAAAGTGCCGAAAGCGGCAGTCTGTTAGTGTGATTCAAACCTAGCAACATAAAAATTTAAAATATCTAATACAATGTATACTGTTTCTGGTAACTTTATAATGGCAACACATAAAAATAAAAAGGTTTTTTTAAAAAAATAATTGTAGTACATTATCGATTGACAATTGTTCGTAATATGCCCAAATGGCCGCAGTAACTTTTAACAGAGCTCTTACTAACACCGTTAATAATCATTATCTTTTAAGAGACTTCCAATTTATACACATTAGGGTCAAACCTCGTCAGCACACAACAGCACTACTATAATTAATGTACAAGACAATCAGAGTATCAAAACAACGATAAATTCAGAGGCATTAATTAAGTTTATTAACAAAATCGTTTTCTAAATCTATATAATCAGAAATGGACCCTTATGACTACATACAGAGAACCTAAGAGCTACGATTCACCAAGGTAGTCTATAGTGTAGGGAATTTTTATGTAATTTTATTTTTTATCGGACGTTGTTGTTTTTGTTTAAACTAAATTTTGTTCTTTTTTTACACTATAATGTACATAAACTATCATTTGGTATATTAGTTACCATCATATTATTGTGTTTTAAATTAAAATAATGTGACATTGGCAACACGAAATAAATGACAGGCGCAGTGCTACAGTGTATTATGCTGATAAAGTGAGAATTGACCCTTAGCTTTGCCTCCTGCTTTAGGAATTAATTTCATTATATCAAGAATATTTGAATATTAACAATATAATATACAGAGTGTTATGAAAAATATAAAACAAATATTAAATTTTCGAATTAAATTAATTAACTTTTTGAAGTTATTCTATGTTATAGAGTTAACACGTAGATCATTACCTATTTCTACTAACAATTTTCATAACACTCTATTATTTTATAAAAAACGGGACTTGGTTACTTCTCTCGGAGTATTGTATGCGAACAGTAATAATTAGTACCGTACTCTTTTGGAGCACAGTATAGGTATCGTAATAAGTAGTAGAGTAAAGGCTAAAGCTACGCGTTAAGCGGAAGCGACGCACAACCTAGCAGAGCACCTCGCATGCGGGTTTACGCTGTAAAGAATTTTTCTTTAATTAAAAACATTGTCTATAATTATTATGCGTAAGTTTTCAAACCTATCTCCAAAACATACAATAAACAAATAAATATAAAATAAAATATAATTATCCGATACATATCCGATAATTATTCATGCTAATTCACAGTTTTGTCTCTTTAAGTTTTGACTGACAATGACAAACATTGATTTACAATTACTGTTGGGCAATATTCCGAAAATTTTCAAATAGTGGAAAATTTTCCGGATATATTCCCGGTAAATTGGAAACATTAGAAAAATTGGAAAAATGTGATTTCAAAGGCTCAAATTATGTTCTACGTTTAGAAATATATTTTGAAATTTTATTTAGCGTGAATTATAAACGTCACTTAGACAAAAACGACATTTAAAACGATTTCACAACAGCGAAAAAAATCATTTTCCAAAGGTTAATATTGGAAAAATATCCGGAAAAAATATTTATTCTGCTGAAAAATCAGAAGACCGGAATCACATTTTTTTATGATATCAAGTGTCGGGACGAACGCGTCGTGCGCCTGGTGATAAGAGACACGACTGTCCATAACAGTTACCGTCTCGCTCAGAGCTTTGTCCGTCGCCTTGAGTCACAAGTTACCAAGTCCCATGTGCCTGCAATTTCACCAGCACCATCCCGAAGTAACGCTTCGAATTTCATACTCCCAAACGTAATTTTCCAAGGAAAACATATTTCTTTAGAAATACTATAAAACAAACTTAATCTTTGCGATAACCATCCAAAATACTCAAGAGGACCGCTAATCGCTATACAAGATTGCTTAGTCGGGTATATAGTACCCATTGGTACATCAGATGTCGCTACGAGTACGAAATAGCTATTTTTGTAACTAATTTGTTTTACATATACAAGTGATAACAAATAAAGCAACTAGATGGCGTTTAATGCACAGATTATATGATTAGTGCCGGCTATTTTTGTTTAGGATTACCGCCATCTACCCATATCAGGAAGCGTTAATTTATAAATTAGTTTGTAACACACACTGCCATCTATTGACACGCATATTTCGACTACTACGTAAAGTATCGTATGTCGAAATTGCCAAGTTTACAGAGGAGCGTTTTCAAGTTTTGAATTCACTGAAAAGAGCATAACACGTGACTTTAGCATTTCGCAGTTTTATTTGGCAAAGCTTGTTACTCACATAGAGTTATTATAAAATCTTAGATATCGGTTAAATGAACAACCACAATTTATTTTATAATTTTATACTGTCACCCGACCCGCCCAGACTCACTTTAGTTTACCCGCTTGTTGACGCACAGCAGCGTTAGTATAAAATTATGAAATAAATTGTGGTTGTTCATCTAACCGATATCTAGGAGTTTATAATACTCTAAGTGTGTAACGAATAAAACTGAGAAATGCTAAAGTTACGTTCAAAACTTTAAAATGTTAACTTGGCAATTTCGACATACGATTTAGAAATTAATATAGCTCATAATGTATATTTGAATAATATTATAAGGAAAAAAAACTGACTTTTTTATACATATATATGTTTCTATAATATCAAGTGACGGGACGAACAAGTTGTGCGCCTGGTGGTAAGCAATACGTCTATCCATAACAGGTGCAGTGTCATTTACAGCTATAAATCGCAAAGATCTTATTGGCACTGCCACTGCGCCCGTCACCCTGAGACATAAGTTGACAACTGCCATGTGCCTGTAATTTCACCAGCACCCTTACCTTTCTAAACCGGAAACTTAGTAATGCTAATATTACTGCTTGGCGGCAGAAATAGGTAATTAATATTTCATATTAAAGAGGACTTAACTGTTATCCACGACCATTTACATAATATAAACTACTTACAGGCTATTTTGAACAGCGACATCTATAACACGGAATTCCGACCTTTTTCAGAGCATGATCTGCAGTATTAAGATTCGCAGTCCTCTCGAGTTACTGGTTCATGGTTATAAATCGATTTTCGGCTTTATGAATATTTGAGCAAAGGGTATTTCGAGCAACTGTAATTTCGGACATCTAATCGGTTACACTATTGGACTAGTAGATGAGCTTTGCAGTACTCACGTGTATGAAGAGCCATCGCCGCAGTCACCAGATCCTGGGCGCGCGCAGCTTGGGGAAGCCCGACTCCCGGGCAGACCAATACTCGCCCGTGAACATCCATGTCTCCTCGCCGTCTTCGCGCATTTTGCTGCAAAGACACCTTTCTTAGTAAAATTTCAAACTCTTTCTATTTCAAAATCATCTTCTGAGGAAGAGTTTTAAGCCTTCATGGGCTACGTTGACTCAAAGATAGGGTATTCAAAATTTTATTTAACTAAGTTTTTATGTGTTTATTTTCTTTTTATCTTTAACAATGAAAAAATTACTTTGTATGATAAATTGAATGAAAATGATAAATGAATTGTATATAAAAATCATATTTTGACATTAGTATAACACCATAATCAAAACGGATAGTAAATAAGTAAAAATACAAATAGATTGACATAAACATTGAATACGTAGACCATTATTTTAGTAGCAGTAGAGCTCCTTGTCAAAGAGTTCGTCCAGGGAACTACTGCCACTTTACCTGTTTCTGCCGCCAAGCAGTAATGTCAGCATTACTGTGTTCCGGTTTTGAAGGTAAAAGGTGCAGGTGAAATTACTGGCACGTGGGACTTGTCAACTTATGTCTCGGGGTGACGGGCGCAGTGGCAGGGCGCCTCAGATCTTTGAGATTTAAAAAACTGAGTGGCACTGCAACTGTCATGGACAGGCGTGTAGCTTCCTATCAGGCGCACGACTTGTTCGTCCCTTCACTTGATATTATAAGAAAAAACTATAGTTTCCCAAAGTAGTGCCTCCCCGTGGGCACTGAAGAGTCCTAGGCGGGCTTCGGAAGCAATTGGAAGCGTTGAACTGTAAAAGAGATGCTACCGCATTTGAAACAAAAACCTGAATTACCTATATAAACTGCTCTACATATATGCTTTTTTTACTGTGATTTTTTGTGTTTTTCATTTTAACTTTTCGTTATTTATAATTGCGTGGCCAGTGCCAAAGAGGAACCGCTCTTACCGGAACCAAGCAGGTGTGTGTTCGGGGCTGTCCCTCCTTCGTTCGCGCTGAGCCTGTTCCAGTTCATGCTTAAACTGCTCCGCGGCGTCCACGTCCCCTTCTTCGAGCGCGCGTTGGTCGGGCCTGCAATGTTAAGTTACACGACAAATAAGCGATTTTATAGCAGTTCATAAAAAGCTCGCTAGATGACGCAAGGAGTTTTTAAAAACGAAACGATAAAGCATGAATTATGCATAGAGGTCTTCGGTTTATGCAGGTAAATAAAACTATGTTTTCATATTTAAAATCACGAATTTATACGGTTGAGTACGCCGTGACCATGTTATCTGTAGAGCAGAGCAGTAGAGCTCCTTGTGAATGAGTTTGTTCAGGGAAGTACTGCCACCTTACCTATTTCTGCCGCCAAGCGGTAGTGTCAGCATTACTGTGTTCCGGTTCTGAAGGGTAAGGGTGCTGGTGAAATTACATGGGACTTAAATTTTTATTAAATTGATATTCAATTACTTTTTGTGAAATTACTCCACTAGTTACAATATAGTACAGTCGCAATTAGTATAAAAAAAGCCCGGATGTTGATTTGTTCGCTTGGAGCGCCGACGGGAAACGCACATTATCTCTTTCGCTCTTATTGCATGGACAAGTTTTTTCTGATCGACTCAACTACGACAAAAATGTCAAATTCCACAATTATTTGATCATTTGACATTTGAAGCTGTACTTCGGACTGGCTTTTGAAGTTGGATGGTTATCTGGCTGATAAGCCAGTAAGTGAGAAACGTTCGGTGTGATGATGGCGTGTCTAGTCTTGGGTCATGGAAAAATGTACATTTTTTTTTCAAAATAAATATTTTTCCATAAATTTTTCACATTGACACCTGTCAAAAGTTGAAGTTACTGAACGAAAACGATGGAGCCAACAACAAGTGGTTGTGGTGTGGTTGTTGGAGGTTTTTTCGCTGTTGTAAAATCATTTTAAAACTCGTTTTTCTTTATGTTGCCTTTAGCTATACAAGTTCATTTTATAGTTCACGCTGAATAAAACTTCAAAAGATATTTCTAAACGTAGAACTTAATATGAGCGTTCAAAATTACATTTTTCCAATTCTTGGGAAATTTTTCCAGAAAAATATCCACTATTTGAAAGTTTTCGGAAAATTAGCCAACAGTAGGCGTGACAGACCTGAGCCTGGTGTCGGTGGACGGCAGCAGCTCGCGCATGCCGGGTTCCAGCTCGTTGAGCTCCATCGCGAAGCGGGTGAAGCCGTAGTACAGCTCGTGCTCGGGCGGCATTGCTCCTGCGTATTACCAATTTTTCTTAGCAAACAATACCACTTTATGTAGACTAGACTAGAGACATTGGTGTGTGTTACGTTTTAAAGGATAAACAAAAACATAAAAAATGTGTACGATTTTTGTAAAAACAAAAACTTCTTTCTTTTACAGCGTATTATTGTCCGTGGCCTTTTTAAAAATAATAGTTGTGTAGAGTAGTGTTAGCGCGCATTTTTAAAATAGGCGGGAAAGTTTTAAGTTTGTTATTCATGAAAAATGCCCGAGCTGGTGAATCGTAAGTATTTCGGTAATTCTCGGGTTAGTGTTCACTACCTAATTTGGCAATTTTACTATTCATAGACGCTTGTCACCACGAACATGCTCTAGTAATGTAACAGTTCAAAACTGAGCACTACAGCAGTGAGGGAGGTGAACCGAGCCTTCGTTGCATAACACTTGTAACATTGGGTAGTCTCCTTCACCGGGAACATAGGCCTGTAAGGTAATTGTTCAGACGGTAAGGCTGCGAATCGACCAGATATAGTGGAAATGTTTCCAAGTCTTTACTTAAGTTGGGTGCTTGCGAGCGCCTTTGAGTGCTCTTGAGTGCCTTAGAGTCCCCTTGAGTACCTTTGAGTCCCGTCGAGTGCCTTTAAGTGCTTTATAGTGCGTTTGAGTGCGTTTCAGTGTCTTTGAGTGCATTTGACTGTCTGCAGTGCCTTTGAGTGCTCT